TATTTATAGAATAGACTGAGGCTCATGAATCTAACAAAGCTAAGACTTTGTGATTTTTTAGTCCTAAATAAACTTCTATTATAAAATAAGGCGAAGGATCTGAGGAGAAATTAGATCCTTTACTAGGAATCATGCAAGATTTTAGTTATATGGTCCTTATTACCACTAGAAAAACTTTTTTTTGACACATCATCTTTTTGGCAACCATGCTTTTTATTTTGTGGTTGCATTTTTTCTTTGAATAATGTTAAGTAGTGTGTTTAGCTTCTCCATAATATAAGCATAAGCCCTCTTGATGCTATTAAGTCTTTTCTTACTCTGTAAGGAATTTAAAATGTATCATATCAATTTGTATTAGTTCTGGCCTTGGTGAATAAATTTTTGAAAACTTGAAAGCTACCGTTGTCGATGTAGAGAGACTTTGCCTCAAGAAAGTACTATGCTCCTTACTGCCACTAATTGCTCAATCAAGTCTTAAGATAAAGAAGACCAATTTTGTATATATATATATATAATACTTTTAGGTGCTATTATACCAAATATATAAGTATTAAGTTCCCAAAAACATCCAAAATATGATAAAACCTCTAAATCCTTTAATATCCTTATAAAATATTATTCTTGAACTTCAAAAACTCGTATCTTCCAATTGGACCGTTAAAACACATTCAAAATTTATATGAAGTACTGATGTACTTCTAACAATAACTACAACAAATTTCAAATGAAAATTCATTGCGGATCTTAAGATATCACGAAAACCCTAACAATAGCTTCAAATCCTAGTTTTTATACATCCATGTGTAATTTTCTTCATATCTCACAAACTAAACATTCAAATGCCAAAAAAATTATACATATAGTTTTTTAATATAATTATCTACCTTCTTCAAAAGGTTTGAGCCAAAAATTCTTTCAAAAACTCAAGATATGGCTCCAACCATTACTATGAATAAAATCACTTACTTACTACCTTTGATTTAGATGCACAGACTTTAACTCTCTATAACTTCTTCATTTGAACTCCAAATTTATCAAATAGTATATGAAAAATATAGTCAAAGAAGTGCTCTCTTCAATCTTAATTGCCAATCTTTTTTTGCTATCTGTAAACGTATGTTATGCCCCAAAGAGTGACAGTATATATTAAATTGACACCTTAACTTTGAGTGCCAATAACTCCTTCATAGAAACTCTAAATCACACAAAATTTGCATCCAATTTGTATCCAAAATCTTAAACTTGCTGATCCTAGCCTCCAAAACTTCGAAAGAAAAATCCTAATTCCTAATAAGGCCTTGGGTAGCCTCCTTGAAGCCCATTGGGCATGGCCTTCGACCAATAGGAATGAAGATCTCCATTCCTTGCCTTTATCCAACCATGCCTTGCTTTCATTCCTCCCAATAAGCCTCCTATTAGTTAAGATTTTCTTCATTAGGCTCTAATCTCCTCTCAAAGCTTCATACAAAATATTTAGGTCTTATAATTTTTTTAAATGCTATAATAAAAAAAGATAAAATTCAAAATAAAGTTTCTTAAATTCACTCTTTTTAAATTAATTTATTAACCATTCTAACATACACCAAGACTTGTGAACATATTATATGTCCGAACTAATTTTTACATACTATAAGCATTTATAATACAACACCGTCATTATTTGACTTGTTCTTCTCTAGCCAAGTCTTTATTCTTGACATCTTTCAAATATTAATTGTTACATGCAATGGTTTAAGCAATAAATTATTTCAAAGATTTTACCTTTGGCATTATCAATGATAAATTTTTGACATTATCCTTCAACCTATATCGAAATTGATTGATAAGGGCTTTGTCATTCCAGTTCATATTGGAAGCGAGGTTCTGGAATTCAACAATCTATATAGTGGCTAATTGTGATCCTTGCCATAAAGATAAGAGCTTCGTCTCTATTACTCTTTCTTGATCATTTTTTCCAAATATAAGCATAAATACTTTTAGGAATGAATTCAAATCATAAAAGAGTTGTAAATCTTTTTCTATTAAAGATACAAACCAAGAGAGAGCACTTCCTAATAGAAGTGCATCTATGAATTTAACTTGAGTAAATTCCTCAAGATATTAAAAATGATGCAACCTTAAATAGAGCTTGACTTGTTACAGAAATCTTTAAAATTTTGATCTTATTCCATCAAACTTCTCATGCATATTAATCTTTGTCTTCATTATACTTATAGAAGCAAAACTCCTTAGATTTGGTTGTGAGGTTGATCTACTTGCTTCTTTCAACTTCGCAACTTCTTTACACAGACTCTGAACTTCTTCCATAGGTGTAGGAATAATACCTCCATAGTTCACATTGAAAATACATGAAATTTTTACTCTTAGAGTATTGACAAGCTCATGAAGATCTGAAATAGTTGCAAATCTATTTTTACTTGCGTTGAAAGTAGCATCCTTAATCTTTCCTTCCATAGACAATTCAAGCAAATTCAAAAAGTTAAATTAGAAGAGGATAATCCACAACCTCTAATATCAAATAAAAATTTCTACAAAGAGGGATAATTCACTTTTTTTTAAGAAAAAATCAATGTTAGAAAATAAGATTATTTATTTAAAGATGGATAGTCTACAATCTTCAAAACGCAACAAGAAAAGTGAGATAATCATCTCACTTCTAAATAAGAAAAAAATAGTAAGTTAATACTCTTATAAAACAGTCAATGACATGAATCTTGAAGAAAGAAATCCTTAATACACTCTTCTGTCTCTTAATAAAATTAGGAAGTCACTCAAAGAAGATATGATATTAAATTAAAATGGCTATTGCTAAAGACAAGAACACTAAAAAGTCTTCAAATAAGACTAAAGATTAGAAAGGCGTTGACAAGAATGAAGAAGATTTTACTCTTGCCTCCATTTATACTCTTAATTAGGAACTATATAGTGATATGATATAAAACCTCTAAAATGTGTTAACTTTGCAAGATACATATCTTAAATCGCAAGGCAAGTTTTTTATATGTGCACCACATAGTTAGCTTGTTCTACAAGCTACCAACATGTGATTAACTTGTTAACTAAGCTTCTAACCTATCAATCAACTACAAATACATGTAAAGTCAAAGTAACGTCTATGAAGCTTCTAAGAAGCTTCTAAAAAGCTTTTTTGAAAGGTATTATGAAATTAATGTACTTTTATTTATTTTTACCTACTTCTACTTAATTATATAGGTATTTACTAGAATACGTATGTATATCGATGACAAATATTTTATCAAGAAGTTATTATAAAAAATAAAAAATTATTTTAAATTATTTTAAATTATTTTAATAATAATTAAAAATTTAAGATTTACTTAGATTTAAAAAATCTATTTAATTATGATTTATTAATATGAAATTAAACTATGAATGCATGGCATTATTTTTTTTAATCTATATATATTTATCTATGTGGTCTTTCATAGAAAAAAAAGAAAAAAAAATAATATATTTGTACTATTGTACCAAATATTCTAATTCATTATGTTTCATCTTTAAATCAAAAAACTCTTCTATATAAAACTCTGTTGAATCGTTATTTTTAAAAAAAGAAATAATATAATTTATTAAATATAGTATATATTTAGTAATGTTAATAAATAAAATTAAGCCTAAAACTTTATTTTAAAATCTAATCCATTTGAATTTTTTATAATATTTTTAAAATAATCTCTCTCTCTCTCTCTCTCTCTCTCTCTCTCTCTCTCTCTATATATATATATATATATCCAATTATATTTTAGACAAAATTTATAGAATAATATATAATTTTGTATTTATAATTCTCTTATAACAAAGATCTAATTGTTTCATCTTGATAACTTTATTAATTCATTATATTTACTTCTAAAATCATGGAATTAAAAAATATATAATAGAATATTTTTATAAATTCTATTATAGTGAAATATTGTGGTTATAAACTTCTTTTAAATATAATACTGAAGAGTTTAGAAAGTATAGAGATGGCTCACTATGTAACATATTTTCAAGAAATATTTTTTACTTGAGCCATAAAAAATTCGATAAAAAAAATTAGTCATTTGTTCTTTTAAAAGCTAAAAATATTTTAAATTTTTTAAATACAATGTAATATTTTAAAAAATAGTCATTATATTTTAATAATTTAAAAATAAAAAATAAAATGATATACCTAAATTTATGATATTTGTGTAATGTTAACAGGTATACAATACTTTTAATAAAATAATTCCATTCTTGATAGAAATTTGTAATAACAAAGAACATTATTTATATGATTTTTTTAAATAGATATTAGCAACAATGAATCTTTTTAATAAAGAGAACTGATGAGTTTGACCAAAGAAATCTGTTGCATTATTTGAAATTTAGAGACCAGAAATATTGTTTTTATATGATAGTCTGGGAGCAATTTAGCTTGTGAATGCAACAATACTTTCCTGGATTTCGGTAACCAACTGTGTAAGAGTTGTGATAAGTAGGTAGTTCCCAAACAATTGCCTAATTGCCTCTTATATATCCTCACGGCAAACTACACATTCACACTTTGGTTTGTTTTGGTCACTGCCATGAAGCATTTTACACACGCATGCTTGAATTTGTATTTCGCTGCTCATCTTGGAATTGTATTACTTGTTGCTATCGACAGTTGTTCTCCCAAGTACGATAATGTACATATGCACGAAAGTATTCTTTGAGTTGTTGATTACTTGCTTATTGCATTAAGTACTTGCACGAGCTATAATTACAGTTGAATTGATGTACATGACTGAACAAAATATTGCTGAATTCTAACCTGTCCCAATAAAACCGTAAGCTAGGGCAGTAGCTGTAATTGGCATTAATCACATTTATATGAATTTTTCCACCAATTGTTGCTGAATCCCAACACATCTGCTTGTCACCTGATCAAGTGGTTTAGGGTTTCTTAGCCCTTGAGTTTGCAGGGTATGAGCATCCTTTTGCTGCAATTCTGATGTTTTAATACACTTTGATAACAATAATGCATCCTTTGCAATATTCTCATAGTCCAACTGATTGCAATGTGCAATTATAAGGGATACATCAACCAATATACACATGTTTGTGCACTTCAGCAACAAAGATTTTCCACACATGCTACTTTGAGCACTTGCTTGCCGAGCAGTGGAAAAACAACACACCTCTCCTAAAGCATTCCCAGTCATCACAACCATCAACACGATTTATGAAACATGATCGTGCGATAATACTAAACCCTAGCTCACACAAATTCCAACCACCAGTTGAGAGACGCCAGTACTACAATAGTTTGAATAAGAACAAGACCAAGACCACCACCACAACCATCAAAAAAATCATAGTCATCAAGGACCATCCCTGCCCTAGGTTCTTGTTCAGAAACCCAAGTCTTCTCTGTGCCGCCTGCAGATTACAAATGTACAGGAGTGAGTTACTGGCCTTAAGGTGTCACATTCATGCATCTGTGTGATGTTACGAATTAGGTGAAGTCGTGCTTATCATTAGCACACGAGCATTCTGCCCAAACAAAACATTCCAACCCAGAGACAACAATACTCTTACTAAAGCAAAATTCATCAATCAAGACACACAAACTGACAAATTTACCTTTTTGGATTCATGTGCATACTCTGAAAAAAACCGAAGGATGTAACAAAGCAAACGCATCAAAAGACGAACTCACCAAAAGCTTGTTATTCGTTACATCTGCACTCTGATCCATGTCATCCTGCATGAACCAAACGAGTAGTAATAAGCTTACTGTAATCGAATTTATTAATAAGACACTAAGTAAAAATGAAGATAGCAGAACAATAACAACAAATGATAATAATGATAATTAAGATAATGACAGTACCAATAGTGATAATAACAATAATATTCCTAGTAAGGATAATAAGGTGAACATAAATTACCAGTAAACGAGTGTGAAGATTCAGCTCTTCATTAACAGCAAGCGCAATGTGTTTAGTACTCATTACTGTTTTCTCGAGACTCTCTAGATCTTGGTCTTGCTCTTTCATTATTTGTCTTTGTAACTTTACAAGTCCGCTGTTATCCAAACCCTGTGTTCGGCCGGTCTCCACTGGGGCAATACCACCTTCCATCAAACTTGCCCTACAAAATGATACATTATTTGAAGGGAGACAGTAGAAACGCTGCGACATGGAAATTAACCGCAGAGTGCTCCAGATCCATTATAAAGTAGACAAACTCGAACTAAACAATTCATCCAATAACATCCTGCAAATAGCTAGACAAACACTCAAAAACTTTCACCAAGTGAAATTAAGCACACCTGTTATCCTGTGCAGAGGAAAGTGATGCAGACATTTGTTTGGATTTGTAGCGGATATCGACAAGCATATTTTGCCGACGATACAACTCCTTTTCAGACCTAGCTCCAATGCAAGTCAATTCTAAGTACGTTAGAAAGGAATTCATCAAGCAACAGAGTAGGGCAAAGCTGGTTCATTAATACTCCAGGAATGAAGCAAGCTCACAAATAATATATTCCATACGCCGTGAGATTCGCTACATTTGCGAAGTTGTACCATTATCAACTCCTTGCGCTTCATGTGATTGACTTCAGTTAGCCATGTGCAATTGTTACAAACAATCTAGCCGGAAAATGTGTACCACCTTTTTCCTTCATGAGCTTGCATGTGATCAGACAAAAACTACACATGCTGAAAGCCAAAACTGTGGAACAGATGATGGAATCAACTTACAAGCTGGACTTCAAAGAGCCATTCTGAAGAAGAGATTCGAGGCGATCCAGCTTGTTGTTAAGCATCGCCAGTTTCCTTCGAGTAACAGAAACAATTCGAATGCTCTCGCTCGAGTGAGGGGGCAAAGCATTCTTTTCCGCAATCCGCCCTTCTATGTCCTCCGTCAGCCGAACGGCCTCTTGAAACTCTTTCGTCCATGAGTCCGCCATCCCCCTCACCACCCCAACCTCTCCTTCGATTCAACCCCTTTTCAAACCCTCACGATTTCGACTAACGCTCTCAAAACCCAACCACTAGATGCATAAAATCGTCACAGAGAATGTCCAAAGATTGCTTAAAAATAAATTCCCACAAATTCCACAAAAATATCCACTAATTTCTTCACCCACTCTCGTTTGATTCCTTCCCTGACCTCTCTAGGGTTTCCAACCTTTACAGATAAAAACTCCGCTCAAAATTACTCTAATTCTCCAAGTAAAAACCGCCCCACATAATCAAAAAGCCTTCCCAATCCAGCTCCAAACTCCTTCCTCCCGCTCCTGCTCCTCCCCTTCCTAACCCCAGACGCGTAACCGCTCGTCCGCAGCGAATTGTGCGAGAACGAAATGGAGGAGCGACTCGGGGAAAATACAGTGATGGACGGGGAGGGAGCACGAGAATGGAGGAAAGACGGGGAGGGAGGTAGGTAGCAAAGCTTGTTAGGTAGTACTGTGGGTGGGGGGTCGGTATACAGGGGTTCCGTCGAAAGTCCCTGCTGCCGCGTGGATAATACAGTGATGGACGGGTGCAATTTTATTCCAGCATCGTAGTAGCTCACTAGTAAATTCAAATTGTAATGTATTTAATATTGGAATTAACTAAGAGATATGTCTAGGGAAGTATTATTTAAAATAAAATTACATAAAAAACTTCAGAATAATCTTAAATTATTTTTAAAAAAGAAAAAAATAATAGTATGATTAGTTTTTGATAACCTCTTTGCAAAAGAGATTAAGTTCAAGTTTGAAACAATCTTCATTTTTTCATAAGTGTGTCTCTTTTTTTTATTATTTTTGATTTAACAGTAATGCAAGACCTACTCTTGGATTTGTCAGAAGTCATGACATTTTCAAAACATAATATTTATTTCTTCTTTTACTATTATTTGAATAAGTATATATATATATATATATATATATATATATAGTGTTATACATTAAAAATAATTTTTAGGAAAAAATGGATGCATTAAAAAATGTATATATAGTATTTTAATTTTTTTTAATGAAAAATTACTATGATATTATATTTTTATATATTAAACAATAATTACATCCAAGATATGATTTTATTTTATACTCTTCATTGAAATAAAAATTAATTTAGTAAAATCAATCAAATGAATGTTGCAAGCTTAGGAGATATTTATACTAAGAAAAGAATAAGAAACTATATATATATATATATATATATATATATAATGAAATAAAATCTATTTTTTTATATGACATAAATAATATTTTTTCTTCAAATTTATAATAAGACTAGCTATGAAGTGGTAATTATGTAAATTTAAAAGTGGTGTTATCAAGGACATGAATCAAAAATAATAAAAAAACCTTAATGAACTCTTTTGAATGACAAAAGAGTAGATATTCATTCAAAAGTAATATAGTATTAAAACTAGAATGGCTATTGCTAAAGACATGAAGATTAAAGACTCTTGAAATAGGACTAAGAACAAAAAAGGTATTGATAAGAGTAACAAAGGTTTTACTATTGCCTCTATATATACGATCTTACTAAGAGCTATATGGTTATGTTTTTATAGGACCTTCCATACATGTCAAATATATAAGATATGTATCTAATTTGCAAGACAAGTTTCCTACATGTGTATTACATGGCCAATTTGCACCACAAGTCGCCATCATGTATGATACATGACAAATTTGTTGGCTAAGTTTCTATACTAGTATCATGGACATATACATTCATCTCAATAGTTACTTATATGATTAAGTAGAAGTATGTAAATATAGAATAATTTCATAAAGTTTTCTAGAGTAACTTCCTAGAAGCTTCATAGATGTAGTTTTGACTTTAGATGTGTTTGTAGGTTAGAAACTTGGCCAAAAAGCTAACCATGTATTGGTAGCTTGTAGAACAAGCCAACTACGTGGCGCATACATAGATAACTTGCCTTGCAAGATAAGACATGTGGTTAGCAAAGTCAACACATGTTGGAGGTCCTATAGGACATTGCCATGTAGCTCTTAGTTAGATAGTATATATGGAGGCAAGAGTGAAGCCTTCTTTATTCTTGTCAATGCCTTTCTAGTCCTAGTCTTATTTCAAGACTTTTTAGTCTTTTTGTTTTTGGCAATAGCCATTCTAATTAATATTACATCACCTTTTGAGTGACTTTCTAATTCTCTTCAGTGATAGAAAAGTTTATTGAAGATTCTCTTTCTTCGAGATTCATGTCCTTGACAGTTTGACAAGAGTGCTAATATATTGTTTCTATCTTGTTTTAAAAGTGAGTGGATTACTCCACTTCTATTGTTGTGTTTTGAAGATTACAGACTATCCATCTTTAAATAAAAAATCTTATTTTCTAACACTGATCTTTTCGTTAAAGAGAGTAGATTATCCCTCTTTGTGGGATTTATTTTTAGAGGTTGTGGATTACCCTCATGTAATTTAACTTTTGAATTCGTTTGAGTTGTCTATGAAAGGAAAGATTATTGATGCTACTTTCAATCGAAGTGAAAATAGATTTGCAACTATGACAGATCTTCATGAGCTTGTCAACACTCTAAGAGTGGAAATCTCACGTATTTTCAATGTGAATCATGGAAGTACTATGCCTACACCTATGGAAGAAGTTTCGAGTCTATGACAAGAAGTTGTGCAGTTGAAAGAAGCAAGTAGATCAACGTCACAACTAAATCCAAGTGTCACGGACATACTCATATAAGCTAGTAATTACATATATAAATAGGTGGAAGTAAATAAAAGTAGATAAAAGTAAGTTAATTCTATAGTATTTAATATGGAAGCTTCCTAGAAGCTTCATAGATGCTGCTTTGACTTCATAGGTATCTTTAATTGACTTTTTGGATTAGAAACATGGTCAACAAGTTGACCATATGCCTCACATGTTGTTAGCTTGAAGATCAAGCTAACTATGTGGCCCATACATAGAAAAACTTGCCTTGTAAGTCAAGGCATGTGTCCTACAAAGTCAACACATATTGGAGGTCCTATAGAATGTCGCCATGTAGCCCCTAGTTAGATAGTATATATAGAGACAAGAGTGAAGCCTTCTTCACTCTTGTCAACTCCTTTCTTGCTTCCAGTCTAGTTTCAAGGGTCTCTAGTTTTCTTTTCTTTTGGCAATAGCCATTCTAGTTTCTCTTTAAATATACATACTTATTTATTTATATTTTATTACCTTTCTTTGAATGAAGGCTCACTTGTCTGAATTACTTTTTCATCGAGTTCTTGTCCTTGACACCAGGGAGTTTTGCTTCTAGAAGTATAACAAGGACAAAGATTAGTATGCATGAGAAGTTTGATGGAACAAGATCAAAATTTCGAGGATTTTTGCAACAAATCAAGCTCTATCTAAGGTTGCATCTTTTTCAATATCTTGATGGATTTACCCAAGTCGGATTCATAGGCACACTACTATCAAGAAGTGCTCTCTCTTAGTTTGTACCTTTAATGGAAAAAGATTCATGACTCTTTTATGATTTGAATTCATTTCTAGAAGTATTTATGGCCACATTCGAAAAAAGTGATCAAGAATGAGTAGTAGAGACTATGCTTTCATCCTTACAACAAGAATCACAATTAACCACTATATATACTACCAAATTCCAAAACCTCACTTGCGACGTAGATTGGAATGACAAAGCACTTATCAACCAATTTTGATATGGGTTGAAGGATAGTGTCAAAGATTTGTTATTAACAATACCAAAAGTAGAATCTTTGGAATAATTTATTACTTAAGCCATTGCATGCGATAATTGTTTATTTGAAAGGCATCAAGAAGAAAGATTTGGTTGAAGAAGAACAAGTCAAATAATGGCGACAGCTCCCAAGTTTTTTGAAATGTATTTGTGAAAGCCGGAACTAATACAAATTGATATGATACGTTTTAAATCTCTCATGAAGTAGGAAAAGACTCAACGTTGCCAAAAAGGATTGTGTTTATATTGTAGAGAAGCTAAACACACTCCTCAACATTGTTCAAAGAAGCAACACAATTACAAAATGAGGAGCACAATTACCAAAGAAGATAATGTGTCAGAAAATGAGTTTCTCCAGCTACAATAGGGACCGTGTGGCTGGAATCATATACAACACCTAGTAAAGGTCCTATCCTCTCCTTAGATCCCTCACTTTATTTTATAATAGAAGTATATTTAGGACCTAATAATCACAAAGTCTTTGCCTTATTAGATTCAGAAGCCTCAACATATTTTATAGACGAAGATTTTGCCAAAAATCAAAAAATACCTTTAATGGAGAAAGTTAAATCCGTACATGTAGAAGTCATAGATGGTCGTTTGTTGTCTTCTAGAAATGTTACACATGAAACTATTCCTTTAGATGTAGCTATTAAAGATCATAATAGTGTAGTAGTATTTAATATAATAAAATCTCCTTCTAATCTAGTTATTTTAGGATTATTATGACTAGAAAAATATAATCCTCAAATAGATTAGATTTCTCATAACCTTAACTTTTTTGATAGTATAATCCAAGATCACGTTAGTAAAGTAGAAGTACATAAGTTTAATACATCCAAACCTTTATTAATAGGTGCAAAAGCTTTCATGTATACTACAAAAGAATGATCATCTTTTGTTATATATGCTACACCTATTTCTAATGGTGAAACAACATTGAGTGGTATTCCTAATCAATATTAAGAATTCTAAGATGTTTTTGAAAAGAAGAATGCAAATATTCTCTCCGAGCATTGATCTTGTGATTGTTCAATTAATCTGCAAGAAAGAGCTCAACTACCATTTGGACCAATCTATAGCTTATCACAGAATGAATTTGCTGAATTAAAGGAGTACATTGATGGAAAATTGGCAAAGAACTTCATATGCCATTCTAAATCTCCAACCGAGGCTCCTATCTTATTTGTGAAGAAGAAAGATAGATCTTTGTGAATGTGTGTGGATTATTTAGGACTCAAGAAGATCACCATTAAAAATAGGTATCCTATGCCTTTGATTTTAGGACTTCTTGACCAACTCAATCAAGCAAAGATCTATACCAAAATAGATCTACGAGGAGCATACAACTTAGTTTGTATAAAAGAAGGAGATGAATTAAAGACTGCTTTTCGAACTAGGTATGGATATTTTGAATATAATGTCATGCCTTTTGGACTCATGAATGCACTAGCTACTTTTCAATATCTTATGAATGATATTTTTTTATGAATTTTTAGATGATATTATTGTTTGTTATTTAAACAACATTCTAATCTATTCTAAGAACACAAAAAAACATGAGCTACATCTTCATCATGTGTTACAAAAACTTAGAGATGCAGGATTATATGCTAAGTTTGAAAAGTGTATATTCTACACTACTCAAGTGGATTTTTTAGGATACATCATTTTCAAAAAAAGGCCTTATGATGGATCCTAAGAAGGTTCAA